ATACGTAAGTTCAACTAGGTTTTTTTGGTCGTATTTTCCACTTAAACGCAATCGTGGTAGTAAGCCTAGAAGGCACTTTTCAGTGTTTTTGATCAATCATATATGTGCAAGAGAGTCATAGCTTTGCTCCAAACACTATTTTCCCATGCTATACTTCCCTCGCTCCAAGAGTAAAGGTGTGCAAATCCGCGCTTTGTATTTTGTTAGAACTTTTGAGGCAAGACTTTCACACAACCCTCCTGCTTGCGAAGATCAATATGCAATTTCTTCATTGAGGCAACTTTTTGAAAAAAAAAACGAAAAATAAACGCTACGCTCACAGCTACGTACTGATGATAACTGAACTTCAGCTGGATAAATGTGATTTCAGAATAAAGAAGCATATTCACCTCAGCGCAAAGTGTTAACTAGGTAGGAACGCAATACTGCGTTATCTATTTCTTCAATTCCTAGTTTTTCGGTAGAATAGGTGTTTGTTTGCCAAACGCTTTTCTCTAACGAGCGGCGTAACTGTCGCGCGCAGATTTCATAATAAGCACATCAGAATAAGATCTATGTAATACAATAGCTACAGTATTAATTCGTTTATGCATTGTTGCGCACGAAAGGTGAACCATCCTTTTTTTACATCTCCATGTAGTTGCTAAATCGTGTAAATCTTACTCGTACGTCACAGTTTGATTTATTGAATTTATTACTTCTACTCTAGTTTTCTAACGCAGTCATCCATTGATTGCTTCATTCATTTGAACGCTATTAGGTAATTGCATGACTTTTGTAATTCTGCATGTTTTCTTTCTCAAACAAAGAAAATTTGGACAAGTCTCTTCCTGTTTTAGGAAAAATTGGATTTATGTTCCTAGTTTGGTTTTTTTTCTGGATTTTTGAGCTGAGAAATGAATGTAGGATAGACATAAACAGCTCTTTCGTTTTTTTTTTGATTTAACACGATTTCTTGGAATATTTCTGAAAAGCAATCCCATATGAATAGTAACAACTCATCAAAATACACTATTCGCCAGTTTAGAACACTTCTTTGGGCCACATTTTGCATATGGTTGGAGAGTAATTGGAAAGGATAAAAATTGTTTGAAGCAAGGCATAGAGGTGGAATTGAATTTTCTACAAATGATCTTTACCAAAAATGGATAGTCTACTGATGTGTGAAATCTCTTAAATTGGGTGTGAATAAATACTTTAGCACTTTACAGAAAACGGCATTCTTCTTTTCATTAGGGGAGCAATTATGAGCTCGGTCGCTAATTTTTTAGTCTCGATTAAAAGGAAACAATTGTAGGCCTCGGATATTTCTTGTTGACCGACATTGCGCTCATCTCAAAAATCCAAGAAATTCACGAACTTGGGAATACAATGAAAGGAGGTTTGCGGAGCAGAGAAAGAGCTTTTAGAATATACTTCAGTCTAATAATATCATAATGTATAATATAACAATATATATTTAATCAGCTGTTACCTTGATTTTGGGAGAATATGTAACGACGTACGTATGAATAATAATAATAATGAATTCAAATATGTGACGACCTAATTTATCTCAGCGTAAAATATTTCGCCATTCTTGATATCATGAATTCAAAAGTGATTCTTTTGGCAGCAATGTGCTAACATAAGGAGAAAGAACGTGGTATTCAATTTGACAATGGGGATTCAATCACAAAACAGCCAATCTCTTTCTTGGGCCGCGCATGAATATAAGATCAGGCTTATTTTCATGTTCTTCTCTATTTTACTAAAGTTCAATTTTCCTGGAATTAATGTTGCTAGCATACTGAATACTCGGTGTCCATTGCATTATAACTCTTCAAAGATTTCTTGAATAAAAGTCATATCGTAATCGTCGTATAGTCGTATCGACTTTTTTCTTGTCGATATTTGGTTATCTTTTCACTAAAATTTCTATCTACAGTGGACTCATACAATTTCCGCATAAACGGCGTTTGCAAAGACCAAGTAGGAATTAGTCTTTGCAAACACCGTTTTACGCCATGAGAGCACGCAAGATTTATATTTGCTCTTATTCTTTTTGAAGCACCTGCTCTGGTGCGTCACAAACTCACTTGTTTTGTTGTTGACAATGTTGTTCAAAACACGGAAAAGAAATTGTAAACTACGACGTTTTTGACATCTCATGTCAACACTAGGATGTGAAGCGTCGGAATAATCGCAATATACCGTCTGTTCATTGCCTTCTGATATTACTTTGAATTCTAGAACAATCCTTGTGCCAATCACCTTCTTGCTCAACTCCGTCAAAATGAAATTTTTTGTTTTTTAAACAGGAGACATAACCTCTAATCATGCCATTACCATCAATTACTGAATAAATCTTTTGATATATCTTTTATTAGAATGCACTATGATTACTGTCGTTAAGTCATTTTGTAATATTGGAATACACAGGCATCGTATGGAATCATTTCAGAATGAATAAAGCAGCCATTACTACAGCACTGTTTGGTATAGCTGTAGCAATGCTGATATGTTTCATTGTGGCTATTCGTCTTATTATAGAAATCAACCAGTTCTACGGCGAAGCGATCTCACAACTGACAGAATCCAAGGTAAACAGAAAAATTACTGGAATCTGCAACGCTAATTAGCGCTAATTTTTCAAGGATCTTTCCGCTGCAATTCGCTTTTGAAGTTGGATTTCAAAGCTGATAAATCCAATTCAACTCTAACAAAACAAAGAAGATAATCGAAATTATTCAAAATTATTATTAATAATGGAAATAGCTGCACAAGGCTAATGTGTCTTGTCAGTCTGACACAAAAAATGTACTTTTATATACTGCAATATCGTCTGAAAATAGTCATTTCAGGAATTGGCTGATTCTGCGTCGCATAAAATGGAATCATCATTCAAAAATGTAAGAGAAAAGCGAGAAACTTTTGAAATAACTACTGACAATACGTGCCGATGCGAACTGACAGCCATTAGCTGTCCATCAGGTCCACCAGGTCCGCCAGGAAAACGTGGCATCCCAGGAATCCCAGGCTTACGAGGGCTGAAGGGAAAACGCGGTCGAGATGGGCTTTTACTCAGCTTTGAATTTTTGTCTTACAACTGTGTTCAGTGCCCGCTTGGACCACCTGGACCTATGGGATTTGATGGGCCTATTGGATTGCCAGGAATTGCTGGACTTCCAGGAACGAATGGAAGGGAGGGAAAACCTGGTCTGCCTGGATATCCGGGAGTCAAGGGAGACAACGGAATGGAAGGAGCAAAAGGAAGCCCTGGGTTGCCAGGCACGCCTGGCGCAGTTGGTCAACGAGGCGCTGGTACTCCTGGCCCTGGCGGGCCACCTGGACCACCAGGACTTCCCGGAGCACGTGGAAGGGAGGGTAACTTTGGTTGGTCTGCTTTACGTGGACCCCCTGGGCCTGTTGGACCTGCTGGAAGTCCCGGAAGACCTGGTGCTGATGGGAACCCTGGAGCTAGTGGAAAACCTGGAGAGGCTGGATACGATGCTATTTACTGTTCATGTCCTCAACGCACATCCAAGTACAAACATTTAAAGAGATTTTCTCGTTATAAGGATATCGCAGTCATTACTGTCACTAGAAGAATCAAAGTGGAAGATGCTGTTCCCTATAATATAACAAGCCTATCGCTTGGATCAACCAAGTTAGAAACCTAGTAACAATTTCAATAATTTTTAATATTGTGTAGCCAATGTCATAGATTGTTAACAACATAGAAATTGATAATTCCCTAGAGCTCGTATCTTGATGTGGAATTGTCTTCTCCAGTATTATTGAAATCGTTTAATTAGTGTAATAGCGAAAAAGTGTTTGCCTAACATATATGGGTATGTTTTTTCCCCTCTTTACTCTAAGAGTTTTCCCCCTCTGTTCATAATTATTTCCCACTACATAATAATCTGTAATAACTTGTTATTGTTGTTTATTTTGTAAATAAAAAAATGCCAATTCTGTGTGTTAGTATTATATTTACTATTACGTACTGTGTACTCATGAATCATATTCTCTTCTAATTATATTAATTAATCAATCAGACTGAATAATATTTGTTAATTTATTTTGTTCACTAGATTTTTCTTTTTATAAATCAACTTGACACACCTGGCTATCCCCGTCATCAATTAACGAATCCAAATTATATATAGAAATAAAATGCTATTGAAAACTTAGAATTTGCTAGTATCATCGTTCTGAATCGTTTCTATTGCACAGTTTTTTTTTTCAATTTTCCTCACCTGCCAACAGAAGACTAATATGTGTCACTATCTTGCTTCAACTTTTATGCCTAGCTATGCTCGTCAACGGTTCAAAGCAACCGCTCCGCTCTAACTACTTTCTCAAAAACTATGTGTGCTTACATGATTGTGTTCAGTTGGTTTGATAGCGATTAGTAATTGCATAAGTTCATTTTTGAGCAAAGAATTTGTTTGGAGCTACATAGTCGTAATAACTCACTAACTAAGGTAGTTGGCAGGTGCGTCTGCTTAGTTGTATAGGATCTCTACAGATTAGTCTTTGTATTTTTGTGGGCTCATTGCCGTCATAACTCCTGGGGCCACTTTTGCTGTATCGCGACCTGTCTACCTCTTGCTTAAATTTTATGTTGCGTGGAGCATGCAACGCCAAATTAAGGCAACACACAACTAAAACTACTACTTATCCAAAAAACGACGACCAATATGCATTGAACCCTTAGCAAGGTGTGAAAGTGCAAAAAGTCGCGAGCGTATGTCGAGACCCCTCCCCGCATTTACCGTTGTCAAGTACGTGAGTCTAATTAAGCAATGCAGCTAAATGCTCAGATCTTCCTACATAACACTTTTATTTGATTGATATATTCTAATTGTTACTTTGTATG